TAATATTAATATTAATATTAATTATTAATAATTATTAATTATTAGTATTATTATTATTAATTAGTAATAATAATATTATTATTATTATTACTCCATCCTATGCATTCTCAAGGCTGTTGAGAGCAAAACAAAAAAAGAGTAGCAAATAATTTCCTGAGAATCTCCTTTAATGTAAGCTCCTCAGGCTACAATCTATATCACTGTTTTCGGAGGACAGCATAGCAAAATTAACTAGCATTCAACCAATGAAGCTGATAGTGCAGAATAGATGTTTGCTCATACAAATCATATAGTTGTTTGTGAGCCATATTTGAGTTTGGATTCCACCCATTTAAAATAATTGTTTAAGCAGACCATGGATAGTGAATTTGCAGATCCAACCCAATCACTACTTATAATCCCTGCTGTTTTCTCAGGGTTAGTGTGTTTATATAGCCTAGGCTCATAGGTAAGCATGCTAACAAATACAATTATGAGCACATAATGTGCTCTGCGGCCAAAATAAACCATTCTATTACTTAACAGGATGGATGGTTCTTCTAATATGCTAAATTGTGGCTATATATCCTATAGTATGTTAAGCCACAATTGCAAATCTAGAGCAGATGTGCAAATCTTATTTGTATATAGGCTATATATTTCTCCTCCTGAGAAACTCCCCAAAGACATAAAATGATGAGTAGCAATGGCAAAAATACAACTATTACTCCTAATAAATAAAATTCTTTAAAATGCAAAAATCACATTTTTTATTTTAGTCTTTAAGATCTACAACAGAAAATATATTAAAGCTGAAAGATACTGAACAGTAGGGAAATAAATGCCTTCCATAGAGATGATATGGTATATACACCAGGGTTTAGTATTAAACATATTAAAGATATTTACTGCTAGCCACCTGTTTCAGGTTACCAAGGATAGGAACAAAAGCAGCAAACATAAATATATATGTACATATAATGGTAGAAACAGCTATGGCTTCTATTAAAATCTTTTAATAGCATTTGTGTATGTCTACAAAAACAAGCTCACTTAAGGCCATTCAAATCAGGCTTAACCTTGCTTAATATACTGAGCTGGGTTGCATATTATTCTTCCTGAATTAGGTTGCTATAATCACCTGAAAGCACCTGAATGGATAAGCACCTAAAATAGTACTATTTCAAAAATGCTGTCAGCAGCTCTTCACTAGTACCACTGATTATTTAAAAAAAACATACCTAACAAAATATATTCAACCGAAACTGCAGTTATATGGCTACCTGCCAAGTGGACACATTTGTTTAAAGAATAATCTCTAAAAAGAGGTAGAAACTACTAAAAAGATGAACTGCATCAAAATAAAAATTTTAAATGTGCCAAATTCCTTTTTTAAAATCTTCGCATATATATCACAATCTTTCTACATTGTTACCCATCTAAATCCACTGTTTAATATTTTCAAATCCCATTTCAAGTGGATTTAAGATCTGCCTTTGGTTTTAAATCTAAATGTTTTAGTATAGTCCAGACTAAAATATTAACCATTATATTTTATATTTCAATTTCTTGTACTAAGTTGCTCATTAAACTGTCTTATCCTTCTATTGTATTTCAGCTATTAGTCATTTTCAAAATTTTCCCATTAGGGTTAGGGTTAGAAATCAGGCCTTCACAATCTGTAATCTTTTGGCTGAGGCATCAACTAGGTTTTCTTTTGTAGGATAACTAAGGATAAGATGTATGAATGTATGTATGTATGTATGTATGTATGTATGTATGTATACATACATACACACACATACATACATATATGCTTCTTAAAATTATTTTTTCTCATGGTTAATCATTGTCCAAAGGATAATGTTTAAATCCTTTCCTTCAGGCAGAGTATTTGTTTTTTTAGAGTACTAATTGGCAAGATGGTACAAACCTGCAGAGTTAATAAAGTTTATCATTAATATATTATTATTTATTATAGTTATCGGAAACAACTGAATAGCCACAGATTGTTTATCCCATCCCAGAGATTTCCTTCATAGGGGCTATTTCTGAACATAACAACTTTATGTGCTCAAGAAAAAGAATAGAAAGTAAGAACTCAACATTTCTCATATTTATATTTCTATTAGTTTTTAAAGGTAACTTCAGGGGGATTTGTTTTTCTCTGTGCATTTTATGAAACACAGTACTATATTAATCTTGAAGACCAGATTTCCCCCTATTTTATCTTTAAAATGATAGGATTGTTTTAAATTCGCCAAAAATTAATGAAGATAGGGTTTCTTTGTTAGTGATGTGTACTGATTTGTTTTTAAAATACTTGAATGGTGCTTAACAAGAAAAATTGTTTAAAGATGAGGATGAAAGCTGCTGTATGACATTTTTTTCCTTCAAAATCATTGCCCATAAAACCAAGGAGAACATATGCCTTAGGTTCTCTAGATTTTTTTTCAACAACAATTTCAAATGTATCTTTTTCATTTCAAGGGGCTTTTTCTGGACCATTCTTTAAGTGCCATATAATAAGACAAATTTATTTATTTATAAAATTTAGAGAAAAGTGCATGATTGGGGAATTCCAATCTGTTTTGCCAATAAGAAAGTTTCAAATTTTGACAGTACAATGGCTGTGATGCGGGAACACTGATAGTCATAAAAATGACTCTCATTAAAGGAGAAGATGTCTACAAGGAAATTATTAGTGTCCACACATGGGACTCCTAGGCCATGAACAATGTTCTCAAACTCAGTAGTCTGTTTCCACCTCAAACTTCTATATCAGTGGTTCTCAACCTTTCTTCACTATAGATCAGTGATAAAATTCAGCAGGTTTTGAAGAACCAGTAATGGAAATTTTGAGTAGTTTGGAGAACTGGCAAATACCACCTCTGGCTGGCCCCAAAGTGGGGTAGGAATGGAGATTTTGCAATATCCTTACCCCAGGAGTGGGGAGGGAATGGGGATTTTGCAGTATATATTTCCAAACTCCAGCTGTTGTGTCCTATTAAGATAAAGCTAAAAACAAATTTATCTGTATTTTAAGTTCTGAATTTGAATTTTTCATTTTGTTAGTAACATCTATGTTCTGACTAAAAGATGTAGTTTTCCATGTGATATAGATATCCTGGTTCTAGTGAAGAAAATTAACCCATAATAAAGCATTTGACTTGAATATCACACTTTATCTATGATTAGATTATATTGTTTGCTACATCAGAATTTGTGATCTTCTGAAAATTAATTCTATATGACCTTGTATAACAATAGCTATGTTAATCTATGAAAACAAAAAATCAGAAGGAAACTGGTAGCACCTTTTCTAGTTAACAAATTTTAGAGAAAAACAACAGCTTTCAGAAAATTTTCACCAAACTCCATCTTTTTTTAAATTTGACCTTACAAATGTTTAAATGTCAACTTTTCTAATTGATTTCCTTTTATGTAGTTATAAACTTCAAAATATTTAAAAGTTATATTAATTAAAGCAAATGTGAATAGTGGTTTTCTGAATATTGCCTTTACTGACATATTATGAAAGCATAGTATACTATGGACAAATACAATCTATTTAATTGCTATGGGTTGTAATTCTAGTAACATAGTTTGGTTTTTAAGCCAAACTGAACAAAAGTAGTGGGCCATGTAAATTTTTGTGTGCATGAGCTTAATAAATACTTCAGGTGTTATATTATAAACAGAGACTTGGTTCAAACAAATAAACCTTGAAAACAAGAAGATATCAGATTGGCCATGTGACCATTTAATAATAAATAGTGTTAGGTAATAGTGAAACAAAATATTCAGTGGAAAAACTTTAGCATAACAACTCAAATGCCAAAGGAAAGCAAAAATGATATTCATCAGTAAATGCATCATATCTATCTCAATGTTTTAGTGAATGCAATTTAAAAAAAAAACATTGAAAAATTATTTTCAAGACACCATTTAGATGACACTAAAGCCAGGAAGTATGAATTGCTGTTCTTCTTGATCTGAAATGCTTATTTCAATTTATTATTTTTAATGCATTGTATTGAATGTTCATGTGCATATGTATTTCAGTAACCATCACAACAGAATATTGACAATTCTACTGCTATTTTGCGCAGAAGGCATTTCAAGCCAGGAGAGGCTTTCATTAGCAGAATTATAATTGTTGTTTTCCCCTTTTCCCTGAAGGCTTCTGTATCACTCTCAAGCTGTTCTCAAAGGGAACTTAATGAGCTAGGTTAAATCTGGGGGAAAGGCAAAAAAGGCAGAAGGGAAGCACCAAATTCATTTATTTTCCTTTTCTGGAAAGAAGAACCTCAAAGGATCTTGTCCACAGATAGATATAGACTGGTTACAACCGCTTCAAAATTTTGAGGTGCTGTTTCAGTGCTGAAAATTTTTATTAGACCACTATCTTTACTAAGTGATATACTATCTTTTCAGTTGTTGTCTGAAGGATGGTCAATATTTGCTGTGATTGCAGACTCACCATATAATTCATCTATTGAGCATTAACTGTTAATGTTAATGTTCAAAAAATGCTCCCAGTACATCTGCCGCAAAGTCATGCAAACTAATTGACCAGTAGAAAATAAATAATCCTTTTGACATATGTATGTTATTTTAACAATAAATTAGTTTACCTCTTCTCTTTTAGGACATTGAGGACATTAGTAGACATTATTTCTAGCTTACAGTATCATCAGGTAAAATAGGTTTTATTTCCATATATAAAATTACCACATTAAAAAAAAGTTAACAGAGAATAGCATGTACTGGTACATACAGTGAACTGGTAGATACAGTGGCATTATGGGATCATAATATAATTCATTCCCATAAAAGAATATAAAAGATCACATTCTGTTCTGGTTTTACCAGTTATATGTAACAGGCCTTATATATGCACCAGTTGGATTTAACACCTCTACCTGCTAATTTCTGTCACTCTCAGCTTGAGAGACCAGTATTGTGCATTTTACTTTTTTTTCCTCATCGAATTGCAGAAATCTGAAGCTGATATTTTGTTTCAGAGTTTCTGTGGGTGAATGATATTTAACAACAGATGGTGTGATGTGTACTTTGGCACCTCTTAATCTCATTAAGAAGTCAACATCCTGGTTCTTTTTCTCAGGAAGTATTATATTGGCACTGCAGTGTCATCGAATGCCAATGTCTACTAATACTGAAGAGTGGGATGAAACTGTACAATATGAGTATTAAAAAATTTACCAAGGGATAGCTATTATTTTCTAATGGCTACAAAAGTCTTTTCTCAGATCAATTGCACAGAGTCTGTTCCACTTCTTCAATAAACAATCTAAGTCATCTTGAGAGCTTTGGTTATAGCATAAGTGTTTTGGTAAAAAGGAAAAATAATATGAATGTTTTTGCCTTCATCTTCTTCAGGTGGATTTTTCATTGTCCTCTCCCATTTTCTGCACACGGGAATATTTTTTGCAGGAAGACTTGAAACAACCAGGAGGCCATGTTATTGGCCATGAGAAACTGCAAGGAACTGAGCCTTGTATGTTCTTCTCAAAGAAATTGAATATTGGATACCACCATGCTCGAGACAGAAAGTTAGTCTGTGATGATATTTTCAAGTTCTGTATTAAGAAAAAAAATATTAAAATCATGTTTAGATTGCATTTAGTTACAGCCACCAGAAATATTCTTTTCCTTAAACTGAAAGCACTGTCACTGTATCATCTGTTTGGTTAAAGTCTGTTTAACACAACAAACTACTGTAAATGTATTCTTTTCTCACCTACTATTGGAAATTATTGTGTAAAATTTTAAGGTCCTGCTTTGGTAAAAAAAAGGAATATTTAGCCCTCTTTGTATTGCTGCTTTCCTGTGAAGAGCTCAAAGAGCTACTTGCTTGATGCTTGGCATTTCTGAGCAACTGAGCTTAGTTATGACCTTCTTAATTTCATATATGTTGCTCCTGATAATTACTTTGGCTTATGGTTGAACATATGCATATGGTTGAACATATATATCTCAAGCCCAACATTTAAAATTCATTTTAACATTTAAAGTTGGCACGCATGCTCCTTACCTTTTCGTTAGCCATTGCATGATACCACCAGAAGAGCCTAGTTGTGATAAAATAAGCAATGACAACATCTACAGTGTAATGCTCATGTCCTACCAGGATACAGATTATTCCAGCAACACTCATACACCAGCAAATCAAGTGATACCACCAGAAGTGACGAGGTGAATCTGTACAAAAAAATCATATAAAACATGGACAATAATATTCTATTCTGGAGACTACAGTTCAAAATTACAGTTGTAATCAAGAATCTTACCAGGTGACTGGAGAAGGACAAATAGTGTTGCTATCTTCAACACTGGGAAAAGGGAGACCTAAGTAATTATAGGCACAACCAAATATGTATATGCATAAATGTGTGTATATGCATGCGTGTGCACACACACTTCTGAAATAGGTTAGTATGTATGTATGTATGTATGTATGTATGTATGTATGTATGTATTTAATTAATTAATTAATTAATTAATTAATTAACTAACTTGTATGCCGCCCACTCTCGGAAGATTCAGGG